GTAGTTAGGGGGACACTGGGAAAGAGAGAGGCTCCGCAAATGGCAGGAACTCTGAATGAAAACAGGAACCAACTATGATTTTCCCGACAGTGTTGACGGCGGCAGGGATGGGGGTCGGCTGGCAGGAGGAGGTGGGGCCTCCTCATTCGGGGCCCACAGGAGCGCTGGGCGTGAACTGACTTTGTCTAGGAATCGAGCCAGGCTTGCTGGGGTGACAGCACTCAAGTCAGCGAAGCAAGGAGATGAAACTGTGGGCTGGGACAAGCCCAAGAAGAGGACGGGGCTGCATGACTGCAGGAAGAGGGCAGTATTCAGAGAGATACAGGTGTGCACGGCCCCTCCTGAATGCTCCTCCCTTCTTCTAAGGACCAAGTGCTCCTCTGACACCAGGCTCTCCTCCTTTCAGGCACCAGCCCCCCGGCAGGCCCGGCCCGTGCCCTCCTTGGTCACTGGCCTTACCACCCCACCTGTGGAAAAGGAAGGCCAGGGCCTTGGACACTGCGACAGTGTGTGCAGAGCAGTTCACATCTCGGTTCCGCACGCATCGCGACAATCTGATGCGCTCTCGTTGACAAGCTCGATCCCCTGCTACTGCTTGACGCGGGGCTCTGGTCCAAAGCTGAGAGTCCCTTCTTGTCATGGTGTCATCCCTCTCCTACCCTGCCCAGCCGCTCCCTGTACCAGATCCTGCTTCCCCGGAGTGACAGGGAGTAATGGAGCAGCTGCTCCTCCCTGCAGGAAGGAAGACCCAGGAGCCCTGGCTTCCCTGGGCCCCAGCACGTAAACCCATAGCCCGGGGTGGGGTGGGAGAAGGGAAGAGTGGAGAAAAGGGTGAGAGAGGAGGGAGGAAAGGGCTTCCTGCTTCCACCTGTGGATTCTGTTGAGACGAAAATAAGAAAGTGCCCGGCCTCAGCCCTCCTCCTGCTGCCACTGCTTTTCCCACGGTGTTAAGAGCTGCCTGAGGGAGTCAGTTTGGGAGAGAAGGACGCAAAGCTTCCCAGGGCCTGGAGAGATGGTGTCGGGCCCCTGGAGAAGGAACCTTCTGGAGTGCTGCGAGGAGGTAGGAATGGAATGGGCTGAGAATCTGGGGAGCTCCGTGTCTGTCTGCCCCACTCCCCGCCTCTGGGAAGCGGCCTGGCATCCCCTTCCTTCTTCCTCAAATCCCCCTTAGGGAATGCTCTGCTTTGGATTATGTACATTTCATTTAAGTTCCTTTATTTCCACTCTGCTTGAGAAATGGACAATTGGAAACCTATTAGAGGAATTTGGGGCATCAGCACAGGTAGGGAAGAATCGTTTCGGGCAGAGACCCAAAACCCCAGCATGTACACCATGTAGGCTGCACTTATTCCTAGGGGCACAGACTGCAGCCCTGGG